ACACACACCCTTGCTTTCAATCCAGAGTCTCTCTCAGACTGTTGGGGTTACTGCTTGTGTTTCCTGTAAATAGCAGGTCAAAGGACATCACAGTGAAGACTGGAAGACACTAAATCTCAGGACCTCTTCCCTTTTTAACTAAAGAAGCAGGGAGACAGAAAGAGGTAGCTTAGCATTTTATGCTCCTCAGATAATATATTGTGAGTGGAAATTAAAGAAGAGACGAGATGACGAACACATTTATAATGTTAATAGGTTCTAGTCATCGTTAGAAACCGCCCAGTGTGGTAGGATTGAAGAATTTACCCCATTGTTGGCATTTATCACTGCACAGCCACCACGCCATCAATAGCCAATCAGCATCCACCGTGCACAGCAATATAATATTTATGTGTGGTTACGTGAACGTCTGAGGTTTAGCCTTCTTCATTTTTGAAAACAATTATTTTGGATGCTCTCCAATCATTTTGTTTGTTTATCTCAAGTTCAAATCTCTTTATGTGAAGGAAAACTAGATTTCTCAAAAACAGATGAATTTGTGTTAAAATCAATTTATAAAGCTTACCATAACAAATGGTGAAGCAAGTAATCTGCATAGACAGAAATGACTGAATTAGCCAATCACTGTAGGCCACCAGGAGCTACAAACGGGGCCAGTACGGAAAATATGCCAATAACATAAGATATATAATTAGCATAAGGTCAAAATAGAAATAGGTAGATTTTCAACAAAGCTAAGAAACATTTTATATACTTTAACTTTCCTGTGAGAATGAGGTAAGATGTCCTTCTAAAGCTCTGCAGTTCAATGGAGCTGCAGGAGCCACATCCCAGTGTGCCACAGCTCCACCAACTGCAGACAGCTCCTTCCTGCTTCTGCTTTATTTCCAAATGGGCTGATGTCAGTCTTGTTTTCATTATTTTGTTTTTATTGTTTATAGTTAGACAGTTTCACCCACTATGTGATGAGACCCTGTGGACATCTGATAGTTTATGAGTTACTTTATACAAGTAGCCACTCAATTTTTCAGAATAAGTGACTTTAGGTAGTTACATTTATGCTGTTTCCATGTCTGTTACAGAACCATTGCTCTACCAGAAACCCCTGTGATTGGTTAGTTCTGTGTGGGGGGGGAGAATTAAGGAATGGTATTTGAGTTCAAACTTGTTGACAGCAGAGCAGCATAGTAGATGGAGCAACAGGACTCTTTAAGCACAGACTGGTGTCAGGATGTAGCTTTTCCTGAAAGTCAATAAACACTGGAGCAGTAGGAAGGCTTTTCACGGGGTTATGGATTACACAGAAGACAGGTCCAAACTTATCCAGCCACGGAACTGTATCCCAAAATTTTGGAGATATATATGTGGTGTGTGTGTGTATTGTTGTTGTTGTTGTTGTTGTTGTGTGTGTGTGTGTGTGTGTGTGTGTGTGTGTGTGTGTGTGTGTGTGTGTAAATAAGCATTTTGAGAGTCAAGTAATCCAGAACAATAAAAATCTCAAAGGAAAGCTTCAGTTCATATGTATCCTCACATTTTTTAAATCAATATGCAGGCTAGCTTAGCTTAATTTTATTTAGTGTTCAGTGCTTATATTTCTTTTAAGCCCTCTCAAAACACTATTGGCTATGCTTTATAAAGGCTATCTCTTTGTTGTATTTTCACCTCAGTCACTGGGTCCCTGTCACCAAGTAGCCGTCTGTCCTGTCCTAAGTACTTGGTGACATTAGCTCAGGGAGGAACAGCTACCTGCCTAGGCCCAGAGCAGCAGTATGGTTTCCACCGTTGCATTCATCCTTCTTTCCCAGTGTGTCTCCTAAGGCTCCCGTTCTGTACTAGAGACACTCCTTACAAAGAAGCAATGCTTTAGGGTTCCAGCCACAATGATATAGCCTTCACCGAAAAATACTGTGGTCAAAAGGAACTATAAAGTTGGACATAATGCACTGATGCAATACATGGAGTAAAGATTTCAGTGACTGTGAACGCTGGGAAAAGGGAAACAACACCACCCTGAGCACCATGTTGAGATGGGTGTTTTTCAGGGTGGGCGAAGGGGACTGTCCACTGTTGCTTTGCTAGATGAAATAGCCAACTAGAAAGGGGCAGTTTCACAGGGCAAAGAGTTAGGATAAAGATCAGAGGAACCATCCTGTGCAGGATTTGGGGCGTATATTCCCCAGGGTGGGGGTGGCTTCATCATTGCCAGGGTCTGAGTATTAGCCAACATCTGACTGGCATATGCAGGGCACAGTACCCCAAGAACCTTAAATGCAAGGATGTCTGTGAGGAGGCTGGGTTGCAGAACATGAATTTCATAGTCACATTGGCCCGAGGACCTGGAATTTGAAGCCAAGTTGGACCAAGAGAAAAAGACTTGAAACACATTGAGGTATTAGCAGAGTCCAGAGAAATCACTTCAAGAGGGAGGGAAACACTTCAGAATAAGGACAAACCGAAAGAGCCAGTCTCACAAGTCCAAGATGATTGTGAACATGACAGAGGTGACCTGCTAATGTTCCATCAGAAGAAGAAGCCTTATCCCACGGAGAGGAAAATGATGTGGAGAAGCTTTCATAGGTGACACACATCTTTAAACAAAACTATGACACTGTTTAAAAAGGAGTGAACGATAGTGAGGAAGGAAGGAGAGGAGAGAAGGGAGGAGAGGAGAGGAAAAGGAGAAGCAATAATACGTTGGATGAAATTAGACCCTAATGTTACATTATATTTAAAAATCAACTCAAATAAGAGACTTAAATGTAAGACCTTCTTGACATTGATCTGGCCAATGACTTTTCTTTTGAATGTGACTCTAACACACAGAATCACCAGTAAGGAAAGACTGATTAAATTATGTCAAATTTAAAAGTTCACAGCAAGGGAAACAACCAATGGAGTAGGAAAAAACTGCAGAATGCCAGCTAACTATACATCTGATAGAGGTTGATATTCAAAATATGTGGGGAACTCAGAGAAACCAATGGCAAGAAGACAAATAGACTGATTAAAAATGGACAAAAGAGCAGTATAGACATTCTTTCAAAGAAGATATTCAAAAAGAGTTGGGCATTATTCCTAATCATGGAAATGCAAAATAAAACTGCCACGAGCTATTATCTATCACACAGCAGCTGGGATGACTGCTGTCACAGAGCTGAGACATGACTATTGGTGGAGATGAGAAGAGGGACTCCTCACATACTATGGGTGGGAACACACAGCAGACACTGAAGTATAGCTACCACTGATCCAACAATTCTACTACTGGTTATGTATGCAAATGTGCTGAGACCAGTATGTGTCAGAGATACATGTGTGTTCATGCTCATTGCCACATTCTTCCCAATATTCAAGATATGGATCAACTTGAATGTCTATGAATGAACAGACGAATAAAGAAAACACAGTATTTATGCACTCTGGAATACTATTCACTCTCGATGGAGACGGAAGTTCTATCATTTACAACATTCATGAACTTGGGAGGGGGCTATGCTTAGTGAAATAAGCCTCATGTGATCCTGTATGATTTCACCTTTATGTGGAATCTGGAGAAAGCTGGAATCATAGAAGCTGAGAATAGGATGGCAGTTACTTGAGGGAGGTAGGAGATATTGGTCCAAGGACACAAAATTTCATCTCTATTTCAGCATGGTGACTATCATTAACAATGACATATTGTCCACTTGACTACTGCTGAGAGCATTTTGAATGTTGTCATCATGAATGAATATGAATGTAAGTAACATATATTAATTAGCATGATTTATGTATTTAATAATGTATGCACATTTCAAAACATTGTATTATATTTCTTAAAACTGTGATTTTTATACTGTCATGGAGAACACAAACTGCACCTTGAATTTTAAGATTCAGTCTATTGCATGAGATGCATGGGAGTTATTTCAGGAAAAGGCAGGACTTTTGTTACTCAACAGTAGACTTTAAACCTGGGTTTTGTTCTCACGTACTGACCTCGCCACCTGCAAGTCTGCATGACCACAGCCACTCTGAATCTGTCTGTTCTGCTACAGAAATGAATTGACACTTACCTTAAAGGGTGTTTTAATTAATAAAATGCTTTATATAGGAAGATTGATTAGAGTAATAGGTAGCCAATAAATATTGACCCTCATTTTCTATTACCAGTGGAGAGGTGGGATAGCATGTATTTATCTAACATCACTTATACCCCAAACCTAGAGGAAAGAATATACAATACCCATTTTTAATGTATTTTTCAAAAGAGAAAATGCTAATGATTACCCAAAATATCTGCATATTGTGGATTAGTCATAACTACAGTTTCTTAAAGCTCTGAGTGCTGCAAATATCTGAGACAAGACACTGACTGTTACACAATGAGCTGCATGTTCTGGCTTGCCTTTCAACAATCATTCCTATTAAGTCATTATCACTGACACATCTAATGAAGTCATGCTCACGATCAGCTTAAACACAAGGCACAGTATAGTACATATTTTGACAGGAAAGCTGTTTGTATAAACTGAAACATAAAGCAAATATATAATTGCACAAAATGTTCATCATGCTTTAAGTGTGACAGTCTTTGGCTTGAATCCATTTATGAAAATTTGGACACTCTGAAATAGATTGTTTGGGGTACCATTTTAACAAAAAGATTAGTTTCTTGCAATTTCCTGTGTAGCAGTTGAAGGGCTGAACATGCAGCAAACTCTGACCCACATACTTTCTCCTGAAATCTTCAAATGCTGGAGGCGTTACTTATTTCCAGATAAGTACTGTGTATCACTGAAACTGCAATTAGACATGAGTACATGAAGATGAGCAAGCAAGAAACTGCCTACAAATAGTCCTTTCCTTGCATGTTAGCAAGGATTGCAGGTTCTAGTGAATCCATCAATTAGCCGGGGGCTGAATACCTTACCTGTAGAGCCCTTTACAAGGAGGCTATGACATTTGTCTCTATTATATCTGATCCCCAGTGCCACGTGCTAATTAGAAAGGGGACTTACATCACTCTCATGACCTTCTCGAAGGTTGTATGTGAGGTCGTGTTGGATGTCTTCTACGAATTTGTGTGCGTACTCAGGGTAAAGGCCCAGGACCTCAAAGAGACCTTTAAGGATGATACACTGAAGATCACAGTAGGTCAGAGCCTTCACGTCAGCATTGGTCTTGATCACTTGGTCTTTAATTGATAGATTTGCTCCAATTAAATCCCCCTTCCCTAGGAAGAGTGAAAAGAAAAAGAACCATGTCGTTTTGAAAAGAGGCAGAACAACTGGGGCCCAGTCCCTTCATTTGCCTTACAGACTCCATTTCTCTCAATTGTACAAGAAAGAGAAGATCATTGTGAGCAAAGATACTCAATTTCAGCAGTACTGAGAGTTGGGGCTCCATTGCTTTTTTGCTGTGGTACGCAAGATGTTAACACCTTCAAACGTTGCCAAATGTCCTGTGTGGCTAAAACTGTCACTGGTTATGAACTCTGGTCTAGAGGACGTGGGTGGATGATTTAGGCATCCTAGATCATCTGTGGGTTCTAAGCAGCTCTCTGGTAGAATTTGGAAAATGACTTTGGACCAGTCAATTTGTCAGTCACTTTAACCATTCAGGGGGTAGTAATTACTAATTTTCCTAGGTGGAAAAATGGCTCTGAGCTTCTCAGGTCAGTGCATCAGGAAACCTATTGTCTAGATTCTAGAACTTTTGGTAGTAACAGAAGTGTAATATTCAACAGACTAAGGTTTTTCATTTACTTGTGATCATGTCTCTAAGATGGACAGGGGGTGAACTGGAAGGAGAAAATCCCCATCCCTCTTCTGAGTCAGGGGTAGGGGTTGAACATTCGGGCCATGGTTTGCATATGTAACATCAGAGCATGCCTCTCAGTTGTCATGTTTTGTGATAGTGAAAGAATGTCTTTCTCCGCTTAGACAGGAAGTCAACAGACCAAAAACTAGGGTCTCAAATGATGACTACTCATGGGACCAATGTACTCCAATTCCCCTTGATATCTAGGAGCAAGCAATATTGCTGTCTACAATAATTCAGCTGGCTTCTGGGAGCTAACTTCCTTGTTTGTTGATGAGCTAATATTGGACAATTTCATCTTTTAAATCTTTTAAGTGATTTTAAGATTTGAAAGTACCAGAAAGAAGAAACAGACTCCAAGGTCAAGAAATTACTGAATTTAACTTCTGCTGTACTTTGGACACAGCCACAAAGTCACACAGAAGCCACACAAAAGACATGAATAGACCTTTAATTCAAACTTGGGCTGAAGGCTGGAGGAGCAGGAGTATTTCACAGAGAACATTAGGCACTGGTGTTAACCTGGGTTTCTAGTGAGTCTCCACAAAGAACACTGTTCCCAGGGATTAACTATGATTATCTAAATGGTCTTTTTGCTATCTTGTAAGCAACTGAGGCCAACAACTGCACAGTCCTCAATACTAAGGAGGCCATGCCACGGGAATATTATCAAGTGGGCTGGAGAGATGGCTCAGCAGTTATGATCATTGGCTGCTCTTCCAGAGGTCCTGAGTTCAATTCCCAGCAACCACATGCAGCAACCACATGGTGGCTCACAACCAACTATAATGGGATCTGAATGCTATGCAGACAGAGCACTCATATACATAAGATACATAAATAAATAAATCTCTTTTTAAAAAGGGAATGTTATCAAGTAAATTGCCCCACGTCCATATTCCATTATTTAATTTGTAATTTTCCTCAATATAATATTTTAATTAATTATTTGGGAATTTCGTACAGTGCACCCCAATCACACTTGATTCCCATTCCCCCCAGATCTACCCTCCCACCCTTGTGCCTTCTCCCTCCAAAAAACCCAGAACCAAAAAACCCACCAAGTCCAATTTGTGTTGCCCACATACTCTTTGGAGCATGGTCAAACTCCCAGTGGTCAGTCTCTTAAAGAAAATTGAGTACAACCTCCCTACCCCTGCCCCTACCTCCTGCCAGAAGCCATCAACTGTGATGAGCTACACATCAGCATCTTTATAACAGTTTTTAAGGACTGTCTTCAATAGCTTCCTGTCTGGACTGTTTCTTTTTTTGGGGGGTGCGGGGGAGGGTTGTCACAGAAGCCTTCAGTGTCTCTCATTTTCAGTTATGAGTCTGCAGTCATTGATACTGCTGCAAAAGAAGCTGCCCATAGCAGGCGGTGGCAGCACAGATCATGAACTTTCACATGGTTTCTACCTGGTCCCCAGCAGCATCAGGGATCATAGACATCAACTTGGACTCTGGCGGCAGTGTGGACCACGGAAGTCTTTTGAGTAAACTTAATCCAGAAAATGAGCTCAGAGTCAGGGCGATCTTGTGGCTGGGCAGTGAGTCTGCTGGCAGGATCTGCTCGAGTTCCAGAACATTGTATTCCACCCTACCCTTGGTGCTGGCCACGATAGGCGTAGCTATCGTGCTTGTAGTCCTTGGACAGTGGCCTCAAGCTCTCCTCCCCGCAGCAAGGAGAGCCACGCTAGGGGTTGCAGTTGCAGCAGAGAGGCTCCATGCTGTGGGTCAGGTCTGCAGATGGAGCAGCAGCACTGGCATGGTGTGTGACGAAAGGCCAAGGAAAGCCTAGTGGTAGCCTGCGCCTCCGGGTGGCCCAAGGACCGATATTACTCAGTGACGTGGTCTTATTCCACCTCTGCCACATGCCCATACCTGCCTCCGACTCCACGTCTCTAGTTCGGCTTCTCTCTGCTGTGATTGCTGCTCCATTATGCCATCTTCCCCCCGCCCCCCAATTCCATGAAATCACTTTTAAAAAGCATCTTCCCATAATACCTGCCTTCTTTTAGTTGTTCATTGAAGCCTCCGTGGATCTTTCAGGTTCCTCAGAGCGGCTCTGAGGCCCTGTGGGCACTGGCAGCTGCCACCACATTATTTGTAATAGACAAAATTCTAAGTCATGTTCCTCACCTGGCAGTGCTCTGGCTATGGCTTGGGTTCTGGTGGTGGCAGTGGTGGCCACAGCTCTTCCATCTAATTTCTAAATGTTTATATTTTATTGTATTCAGCATTTTTGAAACAAAATTCCTGACAAGAAACTCATAAAAGCCCATTCTATTTATTAGCAAAGGGAAACATGAAATTAATCACATATGCTTGATATATTCAGAATGTGTATGAAATAAAAAATTGAAGGTAAATTATCAAATTCTATCAAATATTAATTTCAAATTAATATTAGATTTAAACTTTGAAATTAAGTCTACTTTGGCAGAAGAAAACAAAACATATTATAGTCTATATTTTTAGTTTCTGGTCACGTCTGGAAAAATTCAAGTCTGACTTATTGTTGTCACTAATATTGCTAAATCTGAAATTATGTTTTCTGTATGTTTTGTTAAAAATCTACACAGTTGCTTAACAATGTAAAGTTGAATATGGACATAAGATACAATCACAGATGGAGTAATCAGTACAGTGACTTTACATTTGTCTATTTGAGGATGATTATCAGGACGGTGTCATGTAGAAGATTCTATTATGCCAGGGACATTTGGAGGAATGTTAAGGCTACTATACTTTCATATTTATGGTTGCTGTGGTATGACTATAAGCAGAAGAATACTGCAAACACTTAGCTAAATTTGGCACTTTGGAAAGAATTCCAGTTTTGTTTTTGACTTGGTGAGTGTTCATGGAGCATAGACAATGGGTTGAGTCTCACACTGAGCTCTGGCTAGGCTTCCTTGCCTCAGTAACAGCTCTGTGGATTCCTCCCTGCTTTTATTTTGAGATTCCTAAATTATTGTCTTAACTACTCCAGGTCTTAGTATCCTTATTTCCGAAAGAAAAGAGTTATTTCTCTGCTCGCTGTGGGTTATGGGTAGTCTCCATCTTTTCAGAGCTGGTCTTTGAGGATCAACAACAGTAACAAAAAGGGATATTAATTACATAGAGGAAGATAAATATAATCTGCCAAGACACTGCTTATCCTTATCACTCATTGCTATTTTCTGACTTCATGAGAAATTCCTGGGACAAGTCTCTCCAGGCATCAGATCTGGAAATGCTTTCGTGTGCCAATTGGAAGATGGTGTTGCTTTAGCTCTTATATAAACACTTCTTCTCACAAGACTGCTAATTCATTTCAGTGGTAGAATGAACTCTTGTTAAGTAACTAGAGACCAAGATGAAGCTGTATGTGCCGTAGGATAGTGCAGTGTAGGTTGAATGAGCTGCATGAAATAATATTAAGATGAAGAAAGTTACAACATTCCATTGACATGTTAACCTTGGATCTTCACTTGTCTGTGGCATCATACCAGAGTTTAGAATGATCCTGGGACAAGCTGAACTTACACCAGCTTTGGTATATATGTGGTGGGGGCAGAGCAGTGAAATATCATCATAAAATCACAATTTATGGAGAAATTTGGAGCATGGAGCAAAAGAGCAATGGAGTAAATCTTTCAGCAACAAGTAATTTTTAGTTATAAGAATTATTACTATTGGATCATGTTTTATAAGCTATAGCAGTGACATAGAAGCCATTAAATTTGCACCTTTTTGCTCTAATGTCATGGATGATACCTTCATTTTTCATTCCTAAAACTGTTGCTAGTCACCAAATTTAAAAATGGACAAGAATTGAAAGAAAAGCCTGACTATTTTTAAATGGTGTGTTATATCTGCTTGCATGTATGTCATATCTGAAAAAATGGCCAGATGCTCTCAAAAGTAGGCTGTGTCAATAGGAAAATCAGCAGGCTATAAAAATTTCAGTGGCACTAGGGAAATCCATGGGGAAATCTGATTTAAACAATGTTTTGGAAGCAAATTAGAAATCATTGTCAATTCTAAGCCAGAATTACAAAATGATAGAATGACTGTTCTTCCACTTTGCAAGTCAAGAAGAGGGAGAGTCCCACGTAGGTTCCCCAGCTGTGGATGTGGGTGACAGTGATGTGGCTTGATCTGTTTATAGGGCCCCTGGCAGTGGGACTGGACTTATCCCAGGTGCATAAGCTGGCTTTTTGGAGCCCATTCCCTATGGTGGAATACTTTGCTCAGTCTTGATGCAGGGAGCAGGGGCTACGTCCTGCCTCAACTTGGTATGCCAGACTTTGTTGACTACCCAAGGGAGGCCGTACCCTCTTTGAGGAGTGGATGGGGTTGGGATTGGGGGGAAGTGGGATCCAGAGAAGGGAAAGGAGGGGGAACTGGGGTTGGTATGTAAAGTGAAAAAAAAATTTTAACAAAAAAGAGATAATAAAAAGAAGATGGAGGAACTGTTTTATCATCGTCTGCACTTACATAGAGGAGAACATCACAGAAGGCTAATAAAAACTGAGCCAAATCTTGAAGGACAAGCCCCACCTTTCTGCTGTTAGTGAAACTGAAGTTCACAGGAAGCAGTGAAAGCTGTAGTCACAAGGTTCTGACAGCACTCAGTCACCAGCTAGTCCCTTTTAGTTGATGCAGTCACAATGTCATAGTCTTTTAGCTATGCTATAGCACAATGCAGCTAAGGTATGATTTATTTCTGATGGTTCTGGAGCTTAAAAGTCCAAGGTGAAGGCTTTGGAAGGTTCAGTGTATAATAAAGGCCAACTTTCTCTTTCTTACGTACTGACTTATTGTGATATCGAGGCAGAAAAAGCCAAGTGCTTCTCTGAGGCTTCCACTTTGGAAGGAACTAATCATGTTCTAGGTTCCCACGTCCTAATTCCATCTTGCCAAGGACTGGGTTTCAGGAGATGAATTTGGAAAACACTTTCAGATCTGACAAGATTTAAGGACTTGATAATGGACCTAAAGCACTGGTTTATATTTTGGACTCAAGAATTATCACTTCTCTCTTCTAAAATATAATCTGTGTGGAAGCTCACCACCTCAGTAGCAGACTGACAGAGCTGACATAAAATGATATGTATTCTTTAGATAAAGAAGGGGCAGTGGCCTACCATACAGAATCAGAACATGCATCTATATCTGTGTCTACATTCTGTGAAGGTTTAAATGTCTCCTGTGCCAAAGTACTTTGTAAGACATTGTTCACAAATCAGTTTCTTAGAAAATTAGAACAAAAAGTGCTGTGTTAACCATTTACTGACATGATTTTAGACATTGATGTATTACATCACAGTTTAAAAGGTACCTGGGATTCATCTGATGCTCAACCTCCCCACATCCCTGGGCAAATTTTCCATCTTGTCCTTCTCTTGAATTTAAACCCAATAAGGGTAAAACTTCTAGCAATTTCTATAATCCACATTCTTAGTGCTCAGACCACTGTCCAGTTCACTGCCATCCTCAGTAAGGGTTGGCTGAATAAACAAATGAGAGTGAATTCAAAAAGAAACTCACAAAGTTGAGAGATGATTTTTTTCCAGATTAGCTCACATAGCATTTTCTGCCAGCTGCCTTTTATATTTCAATGAAAAACAATTATGTCTAGTATTTGAAGTCAACATCATGGCACAGAGTTTTCACAGTTATGAGTTTTCTTTGAGGAACTAATAGGAGCTTGTGCCACCCTAGCAGTATTAGGTTAATGGCAGTGATGAAATTTGTTCTCAAAGTTAAATCATTTTTTTGGGCTATTTTGGGCACAGATAAAAATTCTAATGTTCTTGGGACTGGCTCTCCACAAAATACAGAAATTCTCCACACAAAATGAGCTGCTATTTCATAGGAGGCTGTATGCATCATGATTAGAAATCAGAAAGACTTTACTACATATGGAATCTGGGTGCAGTTAACTAAGGGGACATTTACTCACTTGTTAAATGAAGATGAAATTTATACTGCCTGAACTTGGTTTATATAAAAATCGTGATATGGTGTATATATAACACTTAAGTCAATTGAACACAATAAGGAGTCCATACATGTGTCTGTAATTTGCCAACTCCTACTAGTATCGCCTCTTCCCTACTTTGTATTCCTCATTTTATTTCAGAGAGTTTTCAGCCCAAACCTACCTAGAATAGCCAATACCATGCTGTCTTTAAGAACCTCCATGGAGCCTGAGCACACAAAGTAGATGGCCTGGAGAGCATCTCCCTGGCGCAGCAGATACTCTCCTGGAGCACAGAATGATGTTTTGATGTGGAGAGACAGAGATCTAAGGCAGCCCCGGCTGGCACATTCAAACAGGGACAGCTGTAAGATCTCCTTGTTTAGATGCATTGTGATGTCAGAGCGCAGCTCATCTGGAAAGTCTTTCAAAAGCTGTTGGGGAGAGGAAGGGAGAAAGAAGTAAGTTGGGGCTAGTCAATGACTTTGCAAGACACCAATGGCACTCTTCGTACTTGGGTCAACTGCACTATGTAAGAGGAGGTTGATGTATTCTTTGAGATTCCTCTGTACAATCTCCAGGGCTATATAGTGACAATGACCTTAATTATGTATCATTGAATAATAAATAATAAATCTGATAATAATATTATAAATAATAATAAAAATAAAAAATTGTTATTATTGATAATAAACCTGGAGAAATTTTTAAAAATTCTAAAGTATCCTGGTAGGAAGGCTTGTGACACTTCTGTCAAGAGTCCTATTGCAGACAGATACAGGGACTTGGACCCACTGTCCTTTCTCAATGTGTCATCATCATATACAGAGATCAAATCTTAAAATACTTGTTACTAAGTTTCAAATATGAGAGAAAATGTGGTATTTGCCTTTCAGTGTTTAGTTTACGTCATTAAATATATTAATCTCTAGTTCTATCCATTTGTGCCCTGAAAATGACGTAACTTTTTTTCATGGCTGACTAAAATTCCATTGTATGTGTATGTGTGTGTATGGGAGTAGCTATGAAAGTAGAAAGGGGACCATCATAGAGGAAGAGGGGATCTTAAGGGAGGACTAGGAGGGGGAAAGAGAGGATCGTGAACTACATGTGGCATGGAAGCAGAGGGTTTAGTGGGGCCCAAAAAGGAACCATCAGGAAGGGACTCCCGCCCATCTTGCTCCGGACTTCCCTTTTACAACACTGGTGAGTGCCCGTCCTTGCCCCAGACCCCATCCCTGGGCACCAGCCACTCCAGGGAAGACTTGCCCAACTCGGCCCCAGGTTCTGGCCACCGGGCAGGTTCCCTGCTAGCCCCACCGGGAAGGATCCCCTTCTCCAAGACCCCTGGCAGACCCTGCAGTCTCCACGCCCTGCCCCCACGCCCATCCGCCTGAGCCCCAAGCCTCTTCCTGAGACTTAGAGGCCGGCCCCCAGCTCCCATCTTGCTCCGGACTTCCCTTTTGGAACACTGACTTCCCTTTTGGAACACTGGTCTGTCTGAACCAAGTGTGCGGATAAGGCCAAGAACGAACCACAAGGAGATGGGCAGACGTCAAGGCAGAAACATATGCAACAAAATGAATAGCAATACAGCATCACCAGGCCCTAGCCCTCCTCCAACACCTAGACCTGAACATCAGAAATTGGAAGAAGCAGAAGAAAACAGCCTTATGAATGACATCATGAAGAAGCTAGAGGCTTGTGTAGAGGAAAAGACAAAAAAATGGGAAGAACGCTGTAAACAACTAGAGGAAAGGGCAAACAAATTAGAAGAAATCAATAAAGTCCTGGAAGAAAACAATAAAATACTGAGAGAAAATCAAGAAAAATCAATGAAACAAATGAAGGAAACAGTCCAAGACCTGAAAAGGGAAATAGAAAAAATGAAGAAGACACAAACAGAGGGAATGCTGGAAATAGAAAATCTGAGAAAACGATTGGGAACTTCAGATGCAAGTATAATCAACAGAATGCAAGAGATGGAAGAGAGGATCTCTAGCGTTGAAGATACAGTAGAAGAAATACATTCATCAGTCAAAGAAAACACTAAAGCCAACAAAGTCATGAACCAAAATGTCCAAGAAATTTGGGACACCATGAAAAGACCAAACCTAAGAATAATAGGGGTTGAAGAAGGAGAAGAATACCAACTCAAGGGCACAGAAAATATATTCAACAAGATCATAGAAGAAAACTTTCCCAACTTAAAGAAGGAAATGCCTATGAAGATACAAGAAGCTTATAGAACACCAAACAGACTAGACCCCCCAAAAAAGTCCCCTTGCCACATAATAGTTAAACAACTAAACGTACAGAATAAAGAAAGAATATTAAGAGCAGCAAAGGAAAAAGGCCAAGTGACATATAAAGGCAAATCCATCAGAATAACACCCGATTTCTCAATGGAGACTTTGAAAGCCAGAAGAACCTGGACAGATGTAATGCAGACACTAAGAGACCATGGATGTCAACCTAGACTAATATACCCAGCAAAACTTTCAATCACCATAGATGGAGTGAACAAGACATTCCATGACAAAGCCAGATTTAAACAATACTTATCCACAAACCCAGCCCTACAGAAAGCACTAGAAGGAAAATTCCAACCTAAGGAAGTCAGATACACCCTCGAAAACACAGGCAACAGATAAAGCCACAGCAGTAAACCCCAACGTATAGAAGTAAACACACATCACCACCAAAAAATAACAGGGATGAACAATCACTGGTCATTAATTTCCCTCAATATCAATGGACTTAATTCACCTATAAAAAGACACAGGCTTACAGAATGGATACGAAAGCAAGACCCATCTTTCTGCAGCATACAAGAAACACATCTCAAATTCAAAGATAGACACTACCTAAAAATAAAAGGCTGGGAAAAGACTTTCCAATCAAACGGTCTTAAGAAACAAGCGGGTGTAGTCATCCTGATATCCAGCAAAATAGACTTCAAACTAAAATCAATCAAAAGAGATCAAGCAGGGCATTACATACTCATCACAGGAAAGATCCACCAAGATGAAGTCTCAATTCTGAATATTTATGCCCCAAACACAAGGGCACCCACATATGTAAAAGAAACATTACTAAAGCTTAAATCACATATAAAACCCCACACATTAATAGTGGGAGACCTCAACACCCCACTTTCACCACTGGACAGATCTCCCAAATTGAAACTTAACAGAGAAATAAAGGACTTAACTGATGTCATGACTCAAATGGACTTAATCGATATCTACAGAACATTCCATCCTAACAAAAAAGAATATACCTTCTTCTCAGCACCCCATGGAACCTTCTCTAAAATTGACCACATACTTGGCCACAAAACAAATCTAAACAGATACAAAACAATTGGAATAACCTCCTGTGTTCTATCAAACCACCATGGTCTAAAGTTGGATTTCAACAACAACAAAAACTACAGAAAACCTGCAATCTCATGGAAACTGAATAATACCCAACTGAATCACCAATGGGTTAAGGAAGAAATAAAGAAAGAAATTAAAGACTTCCTAGAGATCAATGAAAATGAAGACACCACATATCCAAATTTATGGGACACTATGAAAGCAGTACTAAGAGGGAAATTCATAGCACTAAATGCCCACATAAATAAGTTGGAGAAATCTCACACTAGAGACTTAACAGCATACCTGAAAGCTCTAGAACAAGAAGAAGCACAGTCTCCCAGGAAAAATAGACGCCAGGAAATTATCAAAGTGAGAGCTGAAATCAATAAAATAGAAACAAAGAGAACAATACAAAAAATCAATGAAACAAAGAGTTGGTTCTTTGAGAAAATCAACAAGATAGACAAGCCCTTAGCCAAACTAACCAAAAGACAGAGAGAGAGCATCCAAATCAACAAAATCAGAAATGAAAAGGGGGACATAACAACAGACATTGAGGAAATCCAGAGAATCATCAGGTCATACTTCAAAAACCTCTATTCGACAAAACTGGAAAACCTAAAAGAAATGGATAATTTTCTGGATAGGTACCACATACCTAAGTTAAATCAAGACCAGATAAACTATTTAAATAGTCCAATAACCCCTAACGAAATAGAAACAGTCATTAAAAGTCTCCCAACCAAAAAAAGCCCAGGACCAGATGGTTTCAGCGCAGAATTCTACCAGATCTTCAAAGAAGAGTTAATACCAATACTCTCTAAATTGTTCCACACAATAGAAACAGAAGGAACATTACCAAACTCCTTCTACGAGGCTACAATTACCCTAATTCCTAAACCAAACAAGGATACAACAAAGAAAGAGAACTACAGACCGATCTCCCTCATGAACATTGATGCAAAAATACTCAATAAAATACTGGCAAACAGACTCCAAGAACACATCAAAACAATTATCCACCATGATCAAGTAGGATTCATTCCAGGGATGCAAGGGTGGTTCAACATATGAAAGTCCGTCAATGTAATACACCATATAAACAAACTCAAAGAAAAAAACCATATGATCATCTCACTGGATGCAGAAAAGGCATTTGACAAAATCCAACACCCCTTCATGATAAAGGTCTTGGAGAGATCAGGAATACAGGGAACATACCTAAACATAATAAAGGCAATTTACAGCAAGCCAACAGCCAACATCAAATTAAATGGAGAGAAACTCAAAGCAATTCCACTAAAATCAGGAACGAGGCAAGGCTGTCCACTCTCCCCATACTTATTCAATATAGTACTTGAAGTTCTAGCCAGAGCAATAAGACAACATAAGGAGATTAAGGGGATACAAATTGGAAAGGAAGAAGTCAAGCTTTCCCTATTTGCAGATGACATGATAGTATACTTGAGCGACCCCAAAGATTCCACCAAGGAACTGATACAGCTTATAAACACCTTCAGCAACATAGCAGGATACAAGATCAACTCAAAAAAATCAGTAGCCCTCCTATATACAATGGACAAAGAAGCGGAGAAGGAAATCAGAGATACATCACCCTTTACTATAGCCACAAATGACATAAAATACCTTGGGGTAACACTAACCAAGCAAGTGAAGGACCTATATGACAAGAACTTTAAGTCCCTGAAAAAAGAAATTGAAGAAGATGTCAGAAAATGGAAAGATCTCCCATGCTCATGGATAGCCAGGACTAACATAGTAAAAATGGCAATCTTACCAAAAGCAATCTACAGATTCAATGCAATCCCCATCAAAATACCAACACAATTCTTCACAGACCTGGAAAAAATAATACTCAACTTCATATGGAAAAACAAAAAACCCAGGATAGCCAAAGGAATCCTGTACAATAACACAACTTCTGGAGGCATCACGATCCCTGACTTCAAGCTCTACTATAGAGCTACAGTAATAAAAACAGCTTGGTACTGGCATAAAAACCGACATGTGGACCAATGGAATCGAATTGAAGACCCTGACATTAATCCGCACACCTATGAACATATAATTTTTGACAAAGAAGCCAAAAGTGCACAATGGAAAAAAGAAAGCATCTTCAACAAATGGTGCTGGCAAAACTGGATATCAACATGTAGAAGGCTGCAAATAGATCCATATCTATCACCGTGCACAAAACTTAAGTCCAAGTGGATCAAGGACCTCAACATAAATCCAGCTACTCTGAACCTGCTAAAAGAGAAAGTAGGAAGTAGTCTTGAACGCATTGGCATAGGAGACTACTTCCTAAATAGAACACCAGTAGCACAGACTCTGAGAGAAACAATCAATCAATGGAACCTCTTGAAACTGAGAAGCTTTTGTAGAGCAAAGGATACGGTCAACAAGGCAAAGCGACAGCCTACAGAATGGGAAAAGATCTTCACCAACCCCACATCTGACAGAGGACTGATATCCAGAATATATAAGGAATTCAAGAAATTAGACATCAAAATGCCCAACAGTCCAATTAAGAAATGGGCTATAGAACTAAACAGAGAATTCTCAACAGGAAACTCAAATGGCCGAAAGACATTTAAGGAACTGCTCAACATCCCTAATCATCAGGGAAATGCAAATCAAAACAACTCTGAGATACCACCTTACGCCTGTCAGAATGGCTAAGATCAAAAACACTGAAGACATCTTATGCTGGAGAGGATGTGGAGCTAGGGGAACTCTCCTCCACTGCTGGTGGGAATGCAAGCTTGTACAACTACTTTGGAAATCAATATGGCGCTTTCTTAGAAAATTGGGAATCAATCTCCCCCAAGATCCAGCTATACCACTCTTGGGCATATACCCAAGAAATGCTCAACCACACCATAAGAGCACTTGTTCAGTTATGTTCATATCAGCATTGTTTGTAATAGCCAGAACATGGAAACAACCTAGATGCCCTTCAACTGAAGAATGGATAAACAAAATGTGGTACATATACACAATGGAATACTACTCAGCAGAGAAAAACAATGGCATCATGAGGTTTGCAGACAAATGGATGGATCTAGAAAAAATCATCCTGAGTGAGGTAACCCAGACTCAGAAAGACAAACATGGTATGTACTCACTCATAGCAGGATACTAGACATGAAACAAGGATGACTTGTCTGCTACTCACATCACCAGGGAGGCTACCTGGAAAACAGGACCCCAAGAAAGACACAGGGATCACCCAATGACAGAGAAATGGAATGAGATCTACATGAACAGCCTGGACATGAGTGGGGGTAATGAAAGGCGAGGGTTGAGGGAAAGAGAGCTTGGGGGAGCGGGAGATCCCAGCTGGATCAACAACAGAGAGGGAGAACAAGGAATAGGAGACCATGGTAAATGAAGACCACATGAGAATAGGAAGAAGCAAAGTGCTAGAGAGGCCCACAGAAATCCACAAAGATACCCACACAACAGACTGCTGGCAGTGGTCGAGAGACAGCCCGAACTGACCTACTCTGGTGATGGGATGGCCAAACACCCTAATTGTTGTGCTAGAAACCTCATCCAACTACTGAGGGATCTGGATGCAGAGATTCATGACTAGGCCCCGGGTGGATCTCTGGGAGTCCAATTAGCGAGAATGAGGAGGGTTTATATGAGCGAGAATTGTTGAGACCAAGGTTGGATAAAGCACAGGGACAAATAGCCAAATGAATGGAAACACATGAACTATGAACCAATGGCTGAGGGGTCCCCACTGGATCAGGCCCTCTGAATGGGTGAGACAGTTGATTGGCTTGATCTGTTTGGGAGGCATCCAGGCAGTGGGACCAGATCTTGTGCTCATTGCATGAGTTGGCTGTTTGAAACCTGGGGCCTATGCAGGATTGTTTGGCTTGGCCTGGGAGGAGGGGACTAGACCTACCTGGACTGAGTCTACTAGGTTGACCTCAGACTGTGGGGAAGGCTTTGCCCTGGAGGAGATGGGAATGGGGGGGGGGTTGGGGGGGAAGGTGAGGGGGACGGGAGGGGGGAGAACAAGGGAATCCGTGGCTGATATGTAGAACTGAATTGTATTGCTAAATAAATTAAAAAAAAAAAAGGAAGGGACTCCCATCCCTTTTCCTTGAGGGGTTGGGAAATCAGTAAATAAAAATATAGCACGTATAAAGCTGGATTATTTTATAAATTAACTAAAAGAATAGTTGTTTACTTGGTTATTGGGTTGGTTGATGTGTTGGTGAACTAGTTGTTGTTTGGGGCTGTTTCTTGAATTCTACAGATAACCATATTTGCCTATAACTTGTTTCTTTTTTTAACTTTATGGATCATGGTAGCAAGTTTACATTGAGTAATCACCCAACATTATGACATTAAACTGTCTTAAGGATGAATACTTTCAAAAAACACAATGAGAAAGAAAATAAATCCATTTGATTGAATAAACTAATAAAATGTTATGAAACTGTCATCACAGAGTGGCATTGTAAAAACATCAGTCCTAATGCATAAAGGATGGTAGGATATAGGTCCATGGTGGCAAAGACAAAGAGATAAAAAGGCTGGTAAATTGTCCTTCTCTTATGCCTACATTAGAACACCTTCCCTTTACTTGACAATGTGTGATTTCTGCCTGAAAATGTCAAAATAAGAAAGGCACATTACCTCATTTGAATCTATTCCATTGTTGACTGACCAGGTTGTCTGAAAGTACTCAAGCATCCTCTGCTTGAGCTGCTGAGGCAGGTGATGCACACGGATGAAATCCTTTAGGTCCTTGGTTCTAGTGTGATACAGACTCCACCTGGAGTACATTCTCTGTATGATGGCAGTCACATTTCCAAACACCAAGGCATGCATCAGAGCTAGAGAGCACAACAGAACACAGGATAGTAAGACAAAGGCCCCTTGTACATATAAGTCTAGTTTACAAATGGGTTAGAGTAAAGCATGCTTATGTGACCATACTGATATGATTGCTTTGCTAGGAAGATATGGGCACAGCCACTTTGTCGTAAGATCACTCAATCCCCAAGCAGTCATTTTCCCTTCCCATGGCTTGATCCAAGTAAAAATAGCTTTAAAAAAAATATATGAAGTAGACCCTTTGACACACATGCAGTCTCTTAGCTGTCATGTGGATCTGAAAACTTTTACTTTGAATTCTATCAGTGTAAGTATTATTTCAGTAGTTACACATAGTCTAATAGCTATGATACAATTCTATCAATACTTTCAGAGGATAAGCTACAAACTTACAGTTAATTATTGTGTTTCACAAACAGATCTGCTTAAAAGACAAGTCTACTATAAGAACTGGGTAGCAATTTTTGGAATTTTAGTCTCACAGGCCAAAATCATCACTTTAAAGTCTTGGGACATAGTTCAGTGGCATAGCACTCACTTAACTCATGTATGGCCAGGGTTTGAATTTATGAACCACAAAAATAAGTAAGTAAATAAAAGTAGTAACAGACTATTAAAATTGGTGTATTTACATTACTGTTAATATTAAGACAGTTGTTATAAATGTAAGGATTCCCTGATAAGTGGGAAACTGAGGTGATTATGAGTTCAATTCTCATCCTCACTTCAGCTTTGCAAGTACTTTAGTCTTAAGGGAGAAAGCTCAAAATCTGAGACCATGAAAGATACAAAATAGTGTACTCAAGCACAGACGCTTGATGTAGGGTGCTGTCACTGTCCTGGTAACCAGCCCACCTACGTACACAGGGATCCTTGTTTCAGTGAGGCTGGTCACTCAGCTGGCACTTGTTTTGCTTTCGTTTATCCTGCTACGGTAAAATACCCTGTCCAACAGCAATGAATGGGAGAAAGGAATTCACCTCAGCTTACAATTACAAACTGCAGTCCATCATTGTGGGGAGATCAAGGCAGGAACTTCAAAGAGCTTGTTACATCACATCCACAGTCAAAGCAGAGAGTAACGAATGCATACATGATTGCTTGTATGCTTGATTTCAGCACTCATAGGGAATTCAGTTCCTCTTGCCTAGGGAGTGGTACTATTCACAGTGGGCTGGGTCTTCCCACATTGACTAACAAATCCTCCTAACATGTGTTCACAATCCAACCAGATCTAGACAATTCCTCTCTGAGACTCTTCTCCCAGGGGATTCTGGCAAATAAGCCAATCTGTGTCTAAAACTACTACTAGAATTTGGCAAGATACATGTGTTTGTTCACCAGAACTATGGGGTGAATGGGAAGGGATGGAGAGGGTTCTTTCTTGTAGAGAGAATCACAGTTAGAGGACTGAGTTTGCCTTCCAGGAGTTTTTCTGTTTTTGGAAGTAGCTGGCAACAAGGCAGAAAAGACACTGTAGGATTTTGCATCTCATAGTGATAGGCAGAATAGAATGAGAATGGTCTGTGTAGATACCAGTAGATGACTCAAGAAGGCTCAGCTTTACCTAGGGCTACAAAAAGAGAAGACAGAAGAGAGCCTGAGTTCTTATACTCACAGGCAGATCAATTCACAGTGACATTAGATTTGATCCCTGGTCCCTAGCCTGGAATAGAACACAGATGAGGTAAGAAGCACAGGTTCTGTAAAATCTTCTGTTTCAGTCATTTTTGCCTTAAAAGGGGACTACAAAAATAATAGCACATCTGTGAGGGCCTATCAAATGGTCCTGGTACATTATGGTCAGTATGAAAGGAACGGCAGTAGAAGTTTCCTGGCACCAAACTGTGTGCTCTGTAAACATGTAAAGACATGAACAAACCTATCCTCCTGAATATTTTAGGACAGCCCCAGTTCATTATTCCCTCATAGTCACCAGAAATTGCCAAACGCCGATGTATAAATTCCATTCTAATCTAACATTTGGACTAAAATTCTGCAGCAAGTTAGATATCATATTTTTTATAGAATAATGGTTACCATGCCTATAAAGTCACATTTTAATGACAAAATCTTAGCCTTTTGCAAAAGTTACTTGAATAGAGTTAAATTTGGAACTTCTATCCAGGAGGCAATGTAATACAGCCGAGAGAACAGAGGTTGTGCAATCAACAAAGCTAGATCTGAACCCACCTTTCCTCTTCCTAATTGTGTATTCACCAAGTTAAATCTCTTTTTAAAATGATAAAAAATTAGAGTAGGGCTATTCTTGAGATGGCTATTGTTTGCCATGGAAGCCTTTCATCCCATGTTTGATACAGAAACCCTCATAAACTGTAGGGAGAGAACCAGTTGCACAAATTTGTCTCCTGATCTTCACACACATGCTGCAATATAAGCATACACACATATGCAGACACACTAATAAGTAAACATTAAAAAAATAAAAATGTCTCCATTAAAAAAATCTGATGTGGCCCCATTTCCCTTGTACATTAAGTAGACAGGCTATTATCTTAAGTATAGGGCTATTCTGAGCTATAAACCGCGGAGTACCCCAGTCTGTGTAGAAGTATCTAATACATGTATGAAGCAGGAGTTGTTCATGCTGCCTTTTCCTTGAAAGTGCAAAATATTAAAAATGTCAGTGCACTCGAGGAGTAAGATTTGGGGAAAGGATTTAAGATTTTGCTGGGAACTCTTCAAGAGTTACATCACTCTTGGTAGAAATCATTTCTTGATGAAAGAATTCAAGAAGTATTTAACTAGTGTCTATTGCATGCAGGCACACATAAGAATACAAAAGCAGAATGCTTCCCAAATGTCCAAAAGCATCTAAAGGAAAACGAATGGTCCTTAACAACTTTCTGGTGTGTGGCTTTATGGATGCTAAGCAACAGCTCAGCAGCTTAAATATTTTACTTGGAAAAAAAGATATTTATTTGCAAAAAAAATTCACTGAAGAAAAGAACTGATTATGCTCCAAGTCAAAGAAATTAGACACAGATCCAGGCTCTGCTAATGAGCTTATGGGCAAGGCTTGAACGCTCTGCTATCTTTAACTGTGTGTAGTAGTCTTCTTCCAGAGAATAAATCAAGTGCAGAGAATAAGCCTATTTCATTTATTTTAACACTGCTCTTCTTAATTATCTGTATGATTTTAACTTTGCTTTGCTTAATTATAATGTGTAAAGTGCTTAACTCAGAGAAGTAATACGTTTAGACCATTTAACATCCTAATTGTACACTATCAATGAAATAAATTACTAGATTAATTGTAGCATTCATAAATGTTGTTGGAAGGATATCATCCGTCTGAGTCACCACAATTTCAAAGTCTTATTTTTGCATAGGAACACTTCTAAATTAAGAATTCAAAATATAAAACCCCAGCTCTCATAATTTTTTTCTCCCTATGTTATTATGGCCTTTTGGGCCACTGATGCTCACTCTGTCATTCTGTCTTGGCAGAAAGTGTGTGTGTAAGTGTCAGGCAAAATCTTTCCATCTGCTGTGAAAGTTTGACTCAAAAACGTCTGTATCCAGGTCAGTTTGGAAATTATCAATCACTTTCCCCTCTCTCAGAAAACTTGATATATATATAATTCTTGAGTGCTACACCTGCTGAGTATGTTGGAGGCTCTTTTCCTTTGTGTGGGAGTTTTGCATGAAATGCATTTTGTAAAATTGTATCTTAGTATCAGGTCTTTGAAAGAACCTTCCCAACTGTGGTTTCAGGAAAAGGTAAATAGGTCTCAGAGGAAACAAAAAACACTACAGTCTGGCACTGACTTTTGCCTTTTCTTTCTTCTCCTTCTCTTCCACTATTCTCGTTCCTTCCTTGAACTTGGGCACCAATGTTTTCCCATGCACAATATTATTGCTGATGATTTTAACAGCTATTTTGCTGTGATTGCATAGTCTGTACAGGGGCTCCTTTCTCTTTATAGGAAAGGAGTCCAGAGCTCAACTTTCAGATGACCTTGTTGTTTCCTGTCTTTTTTCCCTCCTTCTCATTGACCTGGAATTTTCCATTCTCAACTAACTGTCCTGGGTTAATGCTGAGTTGTGGATGCCAGAAAACAGAGGAAACAAAATGAGAATGATTTCTTGAAAGTTGAATTGAAATGTTTCAAAGACATCTTAAGAATGGCATGAACTTAAGGAATTACATTTAAGTTCAATAAAATCATGACAGGGAGTGTTGAGTTGCCAGATCAAAAAGAAGTGTGAAAATAATGCTCCATTGGAACTAGACATGTCTCAATTGTGAGCCATCTTCACAGGATGCTTTATCCAGCCATCAAGACTGAACTGATTGGCCCATCAACTCAAGCAAACTTATCAGTTAACTCCAGTCAGTTAGTACTAAGTTTTAAAGAAAGATTTTCAAAGATACGAAAAAATCATCTGTTTAATGTCAACAAATATAAGGAGCTTTATTAATTATTTCAGAAAAAAGATACATAACAACTACATTTTAGTCATGCATTATGCATAGTTCTCAATTTTTGTGTACTACCAGTTTTTCTAAATGTGTATTACATAACAGGTCTCTGATCTGATTGAACACCTATATCTGTCAATAAGCTGTGACCTTGAAGGGCAGCATTTGTCCACAGACATCTCTGTTTCCAACCATCTAGCCCACTTGGCATCATTACCACGTAGCATAAACTTTTATTGAACTAAATGAATCAGTTGCAACTCTGTAGTGTCATCTATAGTTTTATAACTGTAAACAAGAAGCTAAGAATTTTATGATAACTGGTTCAGAAAATTCATGTCCACTTCCCTTGAAAATGGCAGCCTTTTGAAATCTTAGGTCCTTGTGGTTATCATCCACATGTTAGACAAAATGACTTTCTTCAATCATTTGGATCATCTCTGTTAATATAAACTAAAAACAACCTCATATGAAAAATAAGAATTTGGCTCTGTTCCCAAGCTCTCATTCTCACTTGATAGCTACATTATTTTTAGCTTGCCTGCCCTAAGTTTACAAGGTAAAACTAAAGTAACACACACACACACACACATACACACACACACACACACACACACACACACACACACACACACACACACTTCTACTAGCTATATACATGGAAGGGGCATCATTGGGTCACAGAGTACAGGTGTATTCATATTTGATGGATGTTGATAACATGATTGCTGACTGGATAGAAATGCCTACTAACAGCACAGAAAGGCCGAAGCATGGATTCTCTCTCAAAGCACAGAGGGCTCCAGAATTTTCAAGCATGCAGTTCTTGTGAGTGCAACATGTGTCTGCTTCTGGTTTACATCTCCATGAATGACACTGGGCAGTGTTTTTACAAGCCTGTTGTTAACGCAAATGTTAAAAGTCTTTCCTTGAAACAGTTTTTCAAATGTGTTTTAATTTTCCCATATGGATTAGTATACTTTTAAGAAAATATATCAGAAAGCAGCCTTTTGCATGGTAAGTATGTGCAAATACCTAAACTCTTGTAGTTTACTCTTCAAGCTCTTAGTGATATATTCTGATAAGAAGAGATGCTGCAGTTCAATTTATAATTCTTTGTAAAGACAATGAGGCATCTATGTCATATTTTAGAAACACTTGGAAAATTCGAGTTCATGAGAATACGCTCTCATGCTGTCTTAGTATTCTTTCAAGTTTATCTCACAATCCCATTTGTAATTAATTTTCATATTGTTTAGTAGGGGTCCAAGTTACCTTTAACAAGTAGCTATGACATTGGACACAGCAACACTTACTTTAAAAAACATTTTTATTACTTCATTTATCTGTCTGTTTGCCTATCTATCTATCTATCTATCTATCTATCTATCTATCTATCTATCTATCAATCTATTTGTGTGTGTGTATGTAAGTATTTGTATGTATATTTGGGTGTGGATATGAGTGTGAATGTACCATAGTGCATGAGTGAATGTCAGAGAACATTTTGTGGGAGTCAGTTTTCTCCATCCACCATGTGGGTTTCAAGGATTGAATCCAAGTTTTCAGCCTTGGCAGCAAGCACCTTTGTCTGGTTTCCAATAACACTCATTGACCATCAATCTTCCTTGAACTATAGTCTAGAGTCAGTCATGTCATATCTGAAGTGATCATATAGATGTGAACCTTATTCTCAACTCCCTTCAATATCATCAGCTCACTGGTGAGCTTTTCACCCCGCATCATATTTTCTTAATGATTGTAACTTCCCAATATGCATTGTTACTTGGAATGCAGATCTTCTGATTGTGTCCATTCATGTTTTGTTTTGTTTTGGCTCCTTTCAGCTCTGATTCCCATTGCTTTTAAAAAACAGCTATCAGTTTGCAGACATACGTGCACATAGATACATGGCTGCTTAGACTTTTGTTATAGAGATCACATGGGAATTTTAAGGTAACTGGGTAAAACTGGTATCATTACAACATTAAACTCATCACTTTGTATACCCTCCAACAATCTCAAACCATTTGTAAAATTTCTCACTACTGCTTTGTAGTTTTCTGTGTACTTCTGCAGAATTCTAGTTAAAGAACTTCCTCCATAGTTACAGTTTCTGTATTGTTTTTAATCTATATTGTGATTAAATGTTACTAGTAGATATGCATACAATTGATTTTTTTTTTTTTTGGTTTTTCAAGACAGAGTTTTCTCTGTGTAGTTTTGGTGCCTTTACAATGAACTTACAAACTATTTGAACCTTTTGAATTACTTATATACTGAATGTTTTCAAGGTTCTTGTACGTTTTCCTATGTATGAAATTTTAAATAATTTTGCTTAATTTCTTTACTGTGCACTTTAGAATATTTTCCTATATATTGCTTATGTTTACATTCTATAATTATAGATACTTATAGAATATATATGTGATATCAACATGGGAATTTTTTTTATTTATTTATGTTTATTTTATATGCATGAATGTTTTGCTCTTGTGCATGTCTGTGGCACCATATGCATGCTTGGTGCCCACAGAGGTCAGAAGATGTCATTGGATCCCTTGGAAATGGAGTTATAGATAGTTGTGAACCATGTGCTTGGTGGGAATCAAACACAGGTCCTTTCACTTTAAATTTTTAAGTTTTACCTTTTTTTCTTTTTAAAAAATCATTTGTGTGTATTTATAAAACTTAAGTAAGTAAAATTAATTCATATAATATGATACAGTGGATGCTTTACCAAAAAACTGTCAGGTCTTAGTGAGTCTTGGCATCCATACTTAGTCTTTTGTGACTTTTAATCTAACTTAGGATTAATGTTATCTGTTTCTTAGTGCTATGAGAATTACATGAATAAAGTGTACTATATTGTGAATTTTTTATAATTAGTTCACAATGATGTGCAAGTAATTTGTTAATTAGGAGATATTAAAATTTGGGCTTCATTTCTTTTAGCCTAGGGTAGTTTCAAAATAATAGAAAGTTATTCCCACAAACACAAATGGAAAAACCTCAAGAAATTCAACCCACTTAGGTCATTTAGCATGAGAGCAATCTACATTTCCACCTGCTGTTAGGCCACCTCAAGTTCCAACGCCACTTACACACTGCTTTTGCAACAGGAAATTTGATGAAAATCAATTTAAGAAAAAATTAACAAAGTGACATTATCAAATTATATTCCGTATATTTTGGGGTTGTGACCAGTATAGTTCCCGTGTTCAGTGAGAAGTGGGGAATAGATTATACATTTACAATTTCTGGTCAAGGATCATTCACTAAGGTAGGTTTGTCAAAACAGTATGTCCAGTTGTTTAACAGATTTCTCAAATGGACAGATTAGTAAGCTTTAGCATTGAGCATTTCATAACATTTCCAACAGGGGAAGAAACATGGGCAACCTTCTTTTTTTTTTCCTTTTTGGTTTTTTGAGACAGGGTTTCTCTGTGTAGCTTTGCACCTTTCCTGGAACTCACTCTGTAGCCTAGGCTGACCTGGATCTCACCAAGATCCACCTGCCTCTGCCTCCCGAGTGCTGGGATTAAAGACATTAAAGACTGCTGCCCAGCTGTACAACTTTCAATAAGTATAGACTCTGTGTACTTGCAAAGTGCTTCCCATTTTGTTAGGCAGGAAAAAAAAATGGGCCATTGAGGAAAGTGGAATTATGTGAATCCTAACACTGGATGTGAATCAGCCACCATGGGTTCTGGTGAGTTGTAGCTCTTTAGAGATGAGAATTCTTGTTCTCTGCTCTCTAGGCTATAAGCATTTGGCATCAACCAGGAGCCTTTTAAAATCGCTACAGTCCCAGCATGCTGCTTCAGCATTCTTTCCAAGGAGGACTGCAGATGTTGGCCCTCCTTGCTGACTGCTTCTCAGCTTCCTCACTGATTTGGCACTAAGGATCCCCTGCTTGGTGCTGTTCAAACCCTTCATAAATTCCAGCTTCCCCCTGTAAGCCAAGTCATAAGTTCACCAAGTAAGCCTTGTGTTAAGATGCTGATTTCACTGTGGGGATGAAGGCCTCTGTAAGTGCTGCATACATACTTTCTACATCCTATCTCCCGTGACACTAACTGATACACTTTATACTGATATTTGGGATTGAGGGCAGTAAGTGAATATAGTAAGATAGGCTTTGGGGAAACGCTAACAAAGCCTGGTCTAAGAATGCTTACTTCACCCAGATGGATGTGTTAAAGCTTTAGATGAGTCATTTGATAGGTCAGCAACAGTAGTATCAATCATGGGTCAATTCAGGAGTTTCAGAAAAGAGAAATTACGCTAAATATTTCAGTGGGACATGGTTTTGCTTGTGGCAGAGGGCTGAAGGAGCAAAGATGAAGTGTGGAGGTCACTGGACATATTTAAGGGAGGTGCTGGAGCTGGACGAAGTAGGTGAAGAGGCATAGGCAGATTAACTGTGACTTGAGGTGTGGTGGCAGCCCCAGAATACAGAGATCTCTGGGGAGTGTCTGGAGACTGTAAACTGAAAGCTACTGCACCCCAGAAGCAGGCAAAGCCTTGCCCATCTTCCTGCCTATCAGTCTCTCATTGGTTCCCCCTACCAGTAGAAATGAAGTTGGCTGCCAAAGTAGAAAGGTTTGTGGAGTCACACCACAGATTTTCATAGCAGAGTATCAAAGGGAGTTTAGGGCTTATGAAAAATGGCGCAATAACATGTTGGTTGTAATAATGCTGACCCCACAGACATGCCTCAATAATTACCCCAGTATTGCACCAAAGCACTCAGAACAAGAGATGGGACATTTAAAATGACGAAAATATGCAAATTACTTGCTCCTTGGAGTTTTTTTGAACAACAATATATTAAGCATCCAAAGTTTACCACACTAGTATGAGTAAAAATTGGTAACACTAACTTTGGTGGGAGTTTCTAGTATATGCGTCCAATTCGGACTCAGAGAATTCCCATGAGATAAATGATATGTGGACTCATCAACACCACCATGGTCTCTGCTAACTTACGTGTGTACATTAAAGTGCCTGTCACTTACTTCCTATGTAGTGCTTCTGGTTAAGTTCTAGTCCAGTATGGAGCAACGTATTGTGATTGTGTTTCAGACCCAAGCAAAGCATTAGGGCATCTGGAGACTCAGTTCCTTTTCTTGCTCCAGAACAAGGTTCCTCACCTCCAATCAGCATTGTACAGATGGAGAAGATCTTCTCTGCATCCGTGTTAGCAGACACATTCCCAAATCCAACGCTGGTGAGGCTGCTGAGAGTGAAGTACAGGGCAGCAATGTAGGCACTTCGGATGGATGGGCCCCCCATCGTGTTGTTGCCATAGTATGGAGATTCCAGTCTCTTTCCCAGCTCGTGAAGCCAGCCTGCAATGGAGGAAAAGGGATAGGTTTAGGATGGAAAACTAAGTCCCAGTTTAGCTCATGTGGATATCTACATATGAACAATTGATGGTGTGATTGATTAAGGGGAAAAAGAGTTAAGAGGAAATTAAAGGCACATTATATATTGTTGCTATAAAATCAGAAATATCATTTTTATTCATTGCAATACAAAATACAATAATTTGATGATCAAAGTGGTTAGTGGCTGCAGAGGATGAAATAGAGAGCTTAGCAACTGTGAGTGGCACACATGTCTATGAAACTCACCTGCTGTTTTGAAGGAGCATAAGGGCAGGATGGTGTTCTGTTTTACTTTGTTTGTCTGTTTGATGCTGAAATAGAAAGAGCCTTGCCTACCTAGAGAGTCACTCCACCGCTTAAGCTACACCCCATTCCTGAATACATACTTTAAACCCTACATGATAAACAACTTCACACAAAGGGCCTTTACTCCAGTTGGGTAAAACCCTCTCCGTTTTTTAAATTCAGTGATACTTGGTTACCTTCTAAGCCCCATCTGTTTACCTTAGGCCTCCTTGTTTTACTCAGCAGATCTCTCCAAAACTTCACTCTTTGTTAGGGTCTAGAGAGCAGGGAATCTGGAAGTATTAAGTGGTACTAAAACAATGGTTTTAGGATACAGTGTAACATTATCAAGGGAGATGTTTTAAATATGTCTAGTTATTATAACTCAATTATATTGTCAAGGAATTATAAAAATTTATTAACAAAACTGAGAGAATAGTATGTATAATGCTTGTATCATCTCAATGGAAACACAACACAAGACCACTTTAAAATATTTTATTGACCTAGGCAACTACCCAGGGCTAGTGAAGTTATAGATCTGAAGTTATGGATCTTGGAGGAGAACCTATAACCACCACTTTACTAATCCAGCATAACCCCAACTGCATTCTAAGTATTTGTCCTTATACCTACAGCAAGTGTAGTCCTCGTCCCTCCTCAAGGAAACTTCATTTTGCAACAGATGTAGAGCATTACAGAAAACCGAAACCAATTAATATGCAGTTATGGAGCCTCGTCCCAATGAATACATTTACAATACAATGCCTGTATGTAAGTCTCAGGGATCATTGCAGAAAAGAGGGCAGAAAAATTGTAAGATCCAGAGGATGGGAGAGTTTGATGTGAGACTGCCAAAGTACGAGCAGGACAAGGACAACAATAGGTATAACCCAAGTGGATGAGGGAAGCCCATGAGTTCTCAGGCTTACACAAAGAACTCTATAACCCAAGCGGATGAGGGAAGCCCATGAGTTCTCAGGCCTACACAAAGAACTCTATAACCCAAGCGGGTGAGGGAAGCCCACGAGGCCTCAGTCCTACACAAAGAACTCTATAACCCAAGCGGATGAGGGATGGCCACGAGGCCTCAGTCCTACACAAAGAACTCTATAACCCAAGCGGATGAGGGAAGCCCACGAGGCCTCAGGCCTACACAAAGAACTCTATAACCCAAGCGGGTGAGGGAAGCCCACGAGTTCTCAGTCCTACACAAAGAACTCTATAACCAAAGTGGATGAGTGAAGCCCAGAAGGCCTCAGTCCTACACAAAGGAAAATGAGCAACTAAGCAATGCTGAGTAGGAGAACTAGGCTTCCTTCCCCAAGGAAAATCACACCAAAGGGTATCCAACACTAAAGGGTCAGCCCTGAAAACACATGCATATAAGTAATGTGATACAGACCGAGCAGGTTGTATTTATGTATCTAAGAATGTAGATGCATGTAACAGCAGTTAAAGAAAAGAAGGGCCAAGAATCTGAAACAGATTGAGGAGGAGTATATGGGAGGATTTTGAGGGAGGAAAGGTAAGGGGAAAATTGTTTAATTATAATCTCAAAAAATGAAAAATAATACAAAAACAGAAAATGTCTTTTAAAATCACAATTCTTATCATCACAATTAAGTAAATTAAACAATTCAGGAAGCATAAAATATTTTTTTAAAACATTTGTCATTTAAGATTTTCTATTTTATAATTCTCTCTGTGATAAGCATGCAGGCTTCATATGACTTTAGGATACTATTCACAAACAATATGCACTTCATTTAATGGCTGCCAGGAAAAGATGGAATTTCTGTTAAGCTTTTTAAAAGTAGTTATAAGTTATAGTTTGTATAACTGGGTTGGGTAATTAAAGCTCAAATTGGGAGGGGCTGAGGATTCCTTGACAGCCAGGAAGAAGCTTGGTGAGAGTATCATTGCTGGTGTCCTTGTCATCAGAGAAGTTTTTCTTAGCCTGCAGCTTGTATCAGAAAGGTCTAGGAAGGGCCTAGCAATGACTTGCTGGCAGTCCCCCTCCTATCCTAGCTCTGAATTTCCTGTTCAGCAGGTGGAGGAGGGCTGAGGAACTGCCTTTGTAAAGGTCCCAGCTGTTTCTGGACTACACTTCCAATGAGGGCTCTTAAGACCTACTACTGCGGGGAAAGCTTCACAGAGCTACATAGGCCACCCAAGTTCTACCTGCATTAACTGAATCAGAACAGCTGCAGGAGGGTTTTAAATGTTCCTAGTGGGATCTAATGTGAGAACTGGGCTTGGAGACACCACATTTTAAACCTTAGCAAGGCCCTGACAATAGCAAGATTTAATGAAGTTCAGTTTATAGAGTGACTCATTAATAAATGAATAGCCAGTTATCATTTTTATGCTAATAAGAAACCAAGGACAACATTGCTGTGGACATAACAATGCATGGACATTTGGGCATCTGTGTTATGTTTCTACATGAAGAGCAATGAAAGTATTTTTTTTAATGAAAGAAAAGCAATAGGATGTAAGTATGACATTGCTAAGATATGGCCACTCACTCTGTCTAGAAAAACTTCACGGAAGGAATGTTCCTAGATTGAAACACAGACCTAAAGCTGGACTCTGATATTTATATGATGTGGAAACAGCTAATCTCTTTAATTTTTCTGTTGGGCCCTGACCCCCGTTCCTTGGGTAGCTGTTGCCTTGCTGACCTTGATCAGATGTCCTCCCTATGCTGATTCCCTGTCGGTTTCCTTCCTCCTAAACAGCTTACTGAGGTTCCTTGTTTGTGTATCCTACATATTGCTGTAAATAGCTAGGATGCAAGAATGTAAAACATCTGTAGCGAATTTCTGCCCTCTTGGGTTCTCCCACTGTGCTGTAAGCCTGTATTTAAGGCCTCCTCCCTCCTTCAATAAACAGCATTCTACTGAGACAAATGACCCGTGGTCTTGTCTCTGTTTTAATCCTCAGTCCCTCGCTCAGACATGGTGAATGGGTAGTAGCGCAGGCACTACATTTCTCATTTTAAACATTGGTCTAATCTGTGGGATTACAGTGACATTAAATAAGATGTCACATGTCACATAACAACCGCTTTACTTCTCATTTTTCCCTATTTCTTTTCTTCAGGCAGGAAGAAAAAACAGAGGGAATTATAGGAATAAAACTTACAGGAACCCCCTCACCTGGGATTCTTGTTTGAAGCCTTCTGTCTGCAGAGGAGCAAGAACTTCAAAATATTTACAACTGCTCAAGACCTTTCATCCTTCTCAGTTGTTGAACTTGCAATTTTCTTCTCTGTCTCTGTCTCTTTCTGTGAGACAGAGTCTCAAACCCACCGAGTTCCACTTGCCTCTGCCTCCTGAGTGCTGAGGTTAAAGGTGTGCATCACAGACAAACCACATTTACAGGGAAATGTGCTCCGACCCCTTGTGCAACTCCAGTGGCTTCTGGTTTTATTTTATCAGACTATAATTCCATCCAAGGCCTTTGCAGAATCATGCTATGATTTAGCTTCTCAAAAGAGAAAAGGAAAATTAAAATTTCCTACAAGTTTTGAAATTTAAGAGCCACTAAATGGTATGCATGGCTAATACAACACAAATAACTGAGACTTGCCCTTGAGAAGTCCATCCTACACTTGGGTATACTTTACTTTTCATGAGTCTCTTAGAGAAACCCTTGCCTGTGCTCAAAGTGTTCTTTCATTCTTCGATATCCTCTTTTTATCTCAGTCCTCATCTTTAGGCCTATATTAACATTATCTTTAACAAAATATGCAACTTCTCTTTGAAGAGGCTAGGCCTGGAATTCTTTCCTGAGTCAAATCAGAAAATCCCACTTTGACCAAAGCCTGTAAGAGATTAGACCCTGACTGCTGAGGGGGTAGGTGTCTCTGTCATCGCCACTGACACTGTTACCTAAACTGAGACACAAAAGGTGCAGAAATTCAGAAAAGTAAGAGACAAATATAAGACTAGCAATAAACTAGAATGAAAAAAAGAAGAAGTGGTAAAATTTACTGGTAAAATCCGGGAGAACAGATGGTGTAGTTTATCATTTCCTAAATACAGGACTTGGGGAAAGAGAAAACCCAAGGAACAACAGTTCTTAATATTTGGAGAGTTATGCATCCATTTATATATCTAAAGGAGGCACAGGACCTTTTCATCAGAACTGTGTGCAAGTGGAGACATGCATACAACTTTTGCACATCCTTCTGTAGCTTATGGCTTCTTACACATTTTCATACATGTTCCATCCAAGAGCCCAGATTAAAAAATCTGCTCTAGAATTTTAAGTGGAGGAATTGGGGAAGAGCTGATAAAAAATGATTTGGTAAAATTTGGTTAACTACCTTGTGAAACAAGGCTTAGAAATAAAGACAATTTATTAAACAGTAAGAGATAACACAAATGCAAAAAACCAAATGTGTATTTATGCCCCACCCTCAGCTTAGGAGCTATTGGCAGTTGATGACTGCTAGGGGAGGGAGAGTCATTGTTCTTCAGGGGTGTGACCCATGAGAGTGCTCATGCTCTAGTAAACAACCATATAACCATATGTGTATGAGTAGTGCTAATTGGGTTCAGTGAGTTACAAAGAAGAAGAGGAAGATGAGGAGAAAGTTGGGAGGGAGATGTGGTGTTGGTAGGTTGTAGGAGAGTTTGTTTGGAACGGTGACTAGGAGGTGGATC